TGGTGGGTGTTGCTCTGGTGAGGTGAAGGTAGGACCAAAGGAAGGAGCAGCAGAAACAAAAGCAGCATAATTATAGACCTAAAGTTTGGGACTTAGAAATTTCCGCGAGTCAATTTGCGCTCAAGAAATATATGTTACTAATGTATGTTTTCTACATGAAACAACTACACCTTGTAAGGTTGGATCATTGCTACAATTAATGCTTTTGGTTTTCCTGATATTGTATTCACCTTTCATATCTATTTGGAAACTATTGAAATATGAATTTCCAAAAGTTATCCATCTTGATTAAATACGTTGCAACAATTTTACCTTATTGTATTTTATCTTAAATAAGCTTCATAGTTATTGTTACTAGATCATATAATAACTTAAATGTTCGTTTGTTGCATTCCTGTATTATTATTCAGTGTGTTTCCATGCACTATGGAAGGTTCTCTTAAAGTAGGCATTTCTTTTGGACATGAAAGTCCGCTCTAAACCAAGGAATATTACATTAACCAATTTTTTCTACGATGTTGAAAAGACACTTTGATTTAATGTAGGTTAGAAATTGTTCTGGAGAATCTGATTTTGGGAATGATTTAAAGTACCTTTTATTTAACTTGTCTCATAAAGATTTTTCTTCTCTTGATTGGGGAATATCACCTGTCAAGGAACCCTTTCTTCATTTGATGGTCTCATTATTTCCTATTGCTACTTCTATTTTTGTGGTAAGACTTACGAATAAGGGACAATCTCAAGTAGACAGTTCTTATGGGGCGTAGGCCTCTCAAAAGGTAACAGAAGTTTCTTCTTTCAAAACCAAAATTGGAAATGAATTTTGACTTCTGATGATCATATACTCTAGATTTTATTAATACTTCATTTTTCCGTATACAATTGATATGATAGCAGATTTTTATACAAAATCAATTAATGTATATGACGTCTTGAATATACAGTTGATTCTTAAGGTTAGTTGTGTAGTTAGATGTAAACATTTGATTCAGGCAAGACCACTAATCATGTAAAATTGCTCCATTTTTTGTTTAAATCATCAAATTCTATGGTTAACAAAATCAAATAATTGACTTACTTTTCGAAACCAATAGTTTAGTACACGTCTATCGTTTGTCAAAATCAGGGTACTATAAATGCTATTTATTTTATGGTATCCTTTTTGCCAGCAAATTTGACTAAGGTGATAACGTATACTTATTTCAAGTTGTCACTACTCTCATTTGTTGGAATAATCAATAATTGAAAAAACCCAAAAGCCCCAAAAATTTTACTACTCTTTTTACATCTGAAATGACAACAAAATATTAGAGATTATTTGGCTCTTACTTCATTCGTTTCATATTTGTTGATCATCATATTGAAAATAGATGTTTTATATTAATGGTTCATTTTACTAAATCCAGAAAACATTAATTTAATTATTTCTATATTATTACTAGTAATTTTTTTTAAAGTGTTCATATTTATTTGTAAAATTCGTAAAAGTTTTTTAGGGGTAAATTAATAAATTATCTTCTTATTTATGATTTCTTAAGCATCATACAAAATAAAAAGTGATCAACTAATATGATAGTACTATTTTATTTGGATGTCCTTTTGCTTTTGATTATTCCAACAAAATTCATATTCCAAATATCAATCTTGATCCTTAGCTTAAAATAAGTTGTTCCTCTTCTTGCAATAATACCTTATTAGGCCCCTAAAAGTCATCTTCTTCTCTTTTTTTTCCTATTACTTTCTCATGTTTTGTTTTTAGGAAGGGTATTTCTTGTATTACAAAAAATATATTACACAGAAAATGTAAAAGTCTTCGTTATAAAAGTATTTAATCATCTGAGAAATCAACTCTAGTAAAAAAAAACTCAAGCCCAAAAACCGAGGAGCAGTTGATTTTTTAATTATTAACCAAACAGGACAAATAAAATAAAACAAGCTCTACCATGACTTGCTGCCTAACAGAAGCCAAGTTTGTGTCAAGTCTATTATTGGATGTGGGCATTCTCTATCTTATCTCCTTTCTAATAATGATAAAGATAAAAAATGTCTTTTTAAAATATACAATATTGAGTAATTCTAATTGTGAAGTCTTTCTATTTGAATTAATAACTACTCTACTAATTAAAGAAGGAGCTAAAAAATGTAGGTAGAAGAAAATAGTTCCACTTTTTCTCCTTTTTTTTTTTAATCTTATAATTCGAAATAAGCTACAAATATAAAAGAAGGGAATAACAAAGAAATAAAATAAAAGAAAGATGATTGTCTTTATGAAGAAATTTCTCTAGTTTAATTTTCTCCCTCTTTTCGTTTGTCAAATCACATTTTTATTCTTTTCCAAACTTGTAGAGCACCAAGAAAATCATTTCCTTTATATAATTAAGCTACAAATATCTAACACTCCCTTCCGTTTAATTTATTTATCTGATTTTGACTTGATATTGAGTTTGACAAAGTAAATACTAAGATTTTTGAATCACGTGGTCTTAAATTAAAGTTATGTGGCATGTATCAAAATATCTTTAATTTTATAATTTTAGATATGCAACTCGTAAAGTTAAAATTAAGGAGTTGTCAAAAAAAATAGAAATATTTTTTCAATGAATTAAAAAGGAGTAAAATAAACAAATTGAAACAAAATAATAACTTGCTCTTAAAATAGCTAGCCGCTATTTTGTGACAAATGTATAACTTGGAATTCTAAAAGAAAAAGAAACGCCAAACAGTTTTTTGTTACATTACTTTTCTTTTCTTTTTTTCTCTTTTCATAGGTGAAGCATGCGTAGGAAATGAAAAAATAACGATAAAAAAAAAAGGCTATGGTATATAACAATATCGATGTGAAAATAATAAGGAAAAAGGTAGCATGGTGAGTCACGAAACACTACAACGCAACCAACTTTATGGCTTACAATATAAAGGTAATTTGTCTTCTTTAGCCATTACATGTATAGTTAAAAATTTAGGCATGGTTCAGTCGAATTTAATAATTTATATATATATATATAATGTGTTTGTATTAAAAAGAAATATTAAATATGTGTAAATATTAAGCGTAGAATTTAATTATTAATACTTAAAATGGCCGTTTTAAAATTAAAATTTTGATTTTGGTTGCTAATGTATCTTGAGGATTTGTTATCATTGTTTATCTAAAGTGTACTTTTGAGAAATGGATACTACAATTCTTCACGTCTTTTAATTGATTCTCTCTCATATTTGTTTACTTAAGTTTGAGATAACGATTTATTGTTATACAGTTAAGGTTGCGATTTTGATAAATAAAGCTTAAAAGTTTAGCTTCGCTATTTTTATATGAATTAATGTACATTGTATATGTATGGATTATCACAATTTTTTCAACTTGGTGATGAGTTTCTGTAATTACTGATCTGATTAATTTAAATTTATATCGAATAAACACACTAAAAAGATAAACACTCCTTATCAAGAACTTCTTCAAGCACAAACAAAAGATTATCAACCATTATATCACATTTATTAGTTTTGAGAAAACTAATAACTTACGGTCAAATTCAGGAGTATTTTCAATACTCATCGGAAAAATAATTGTGCATATCTCACGTGCCATGTCTTGAAATCTGGTAGACTGCTGACGTGTAATACCCAGAAAAACAGTTGTTCTGTTTTGATTAATGCAATTTCTATTTTAGTCCCACCTAAAATTATACCCCTAATTTTTAATTCAACGAATCTTTTTTTTTTTCAACAGCAAATCAAAACTAATACCACTAGTGTATGTTATATCTAGTTTGGTGCGCAATAACTTTTCTACCCTCTTTTTTCACATGCCAAAATTATTTCCAAATACTATACAAACATTATCACCTATAGTATTTTACTTCAGATATAATATATAAATATGCCCTTTAACTTGATCTCATCTCATATTTATGCCCTTTAACTTTGAATGTACACAAGTAGACACTTAAACTTGTATAAAGTTGAACAAATAGACACGCACATCTTACGTGGCATCTTACATGACAATTTGAGTCTATGTGGCGTCCTACATGTATTATGTCACGTAGGACTCATGTGTCCACTTGTACACATCCAGAGCAGGGCGGCTCAACGTAATTGGGGGCCTAAAGCAAAATTTCAATTGAGGCCTAACAAATTTCATATATATTTATTTTTAAAATTATTTTTATAACTATTTAGATGCAAATTATTACTTAATTTTTTTTATAAATGATTTTTTCGAGTACTTCTTTTTATTTAAAATGATTAGTTTTAGGTAAAATTTTATCAATTAACATTGAAAAATATTATTTTATTAAAGCAATCATTATATGAATTGTTAGCACAATTCTATAAGCAATAAGTTGACAAATTTTAAGCAAAAATGAGTTTAAAAAAATAAATAATGTGAATGTTAGAAAAGAAATATAATAAAAATATATATATACACTTTTTATTATAAATAATTAATTTTTTTAATTAAAAAATAACACATAATTTGTTCTTGGTAAAAATTTGAGGCCTTCCAAAATTGGGGGCCTAAGGCACATGCCTTAACTTTTATAAGGCAAAGCCGCCCCTAATCCAGAGTTGAAGGACATGAATGTAAAATAAGACCAAGTTGAAGGACACATTTATGTATTATGCATTTACTTTAAATAGCATCATTGATTGACAAAAAAAAACGTAAAATTTGGAACTTTTATTAAAATATGCAATTAGAACAATCGAAGGTGATTTTCCGTAGATTATATATCCTCCTCTGCATGGTTCCACCAACCAAGTAAAAGATAAAAATTATAAAAAATGAAAACAAATAGCTTGTTCGAACTTTACATGATTACGTAAAGAATGAAATGTAATTTAATTAATTAACATTAGGTTTACCTAACTAAGATGTTGACAATAAACTAGTGGTGGGTCCTTACCACGATAGTACAATATGCCAAAGTATATCAATTATTATATAAATACAAAAGGACAGGACCATAAATACACCTCATTGTGGCCTCTTCTTGTTGGGGAAATCTGAGTGGGCACTCCAACTTGAAAGTTATTTCACAGTTGAACCTTTTGGTCCTTACAATAAATTGATCATCTAACATATGGTTATGTTTGACAAAAAATTAATCTTATATACATTCTACTGGAATGGAATTGCTCAGATGGTAAGTAGGTTAAAAAAAAATGGTGTTATCGTGCGAATCGAGAAGGTACAGATCTAGGAGTTGGCACAATAACATCACGATCTGTCTTCATTGAATTGAGTCGATCTTGAATGGTTTTGTCAAAAAGTCTGTTATCTGGATTCTCCGCATAACAAACGTAGTAACTACTCACACAAGCATGAGGCAAAGCCATCGCAATCCTCGTCTGCAATCCACCAAAAATACATTATTTTTAAAGGATCTGACAGCTGATGGTACTTTTGAAGAGTCCGAGCAACATAGCAAATATATAAAACAATAGTGAAGTAGAAAAGACTAACCAGAAGGTAACCAACGTAGGCAGATAAAAGGGACAATGTGGCTGTGAAATTGGGATAAACAGTGAAAGTCCAAGCACCAATCACAATAACACAAATAGAACCACTACAAACTCCAGTCAAGAAGCAAATGGCACTTGTCATGTCTGAATCTACAATTGTCTCCATTTCTCTTTTTTCAAATAGCTCCCACGTGTCTTGTGATGCCTTCACAAAGCTCTTACCATACGTAGCAATCTAACAAAATAATGAGTATAATTTTTCAGTCGATATTTGTGTATATTCATCGCGCAACTACGTATACAAGTGAATTATTGTGTGATGGGCCCAACGTGACGAGATTCCGAATAAGCGCGAGTTATATCATCTATGTATAAAATTAGTATATATTTGTTGAAATAATTGAGAACACATAAGAAGGAATATTGACATCTCATCTCACACAGCACTAAAGGGAAGGGGGAATTATGACTACTAACTCTATATATTAAAAGTAACATTTAATAAATTGGAAACGCCTGTAATATGCTATAAATTGAAAATGACTAATACGCTATAGTATGAAGACTTTTTTAAATATAGATGTGGATAATGTTTTTATTTTAGGAATATTAATTCACAAGATAACAGTAAACATCGATGTTAATCAGACTCTTTTATCATTTAGAAATCCCCAGAGCATCCTAATTAAAAAGCCCATTTCAGTTTTTGGATACATCACATTTTAACATACTTTACACTTAACCAAGTCCTAATATGCAAAAGAAACTTTAAATTTAAATTTAAATAAGAGAAGTTCAATAATACAAATAACAACAATTTCTTTCACAAGTTATTCAATTATATTTATAATTACATTTTTTCAATTAAAATTGAAAAGAAAGAAAGAAGAAAACTTGAAGAGTTATGAGTGAGTGAATATTATGGAAGATCATGATTCAAATTGTAGTTGGGATCAACAAAATGTCAAGTCGTTTCTTTATGTCCGTTTAAGTTTTGGTGAACAAAGTAATCTGATACTCAACAATTCATATTAATGGAACCTAATAACATAATCAAGATACGCACAAGCAGGTCCAGACAACATCTCTAAAACTAAAGAATGTTTGAAGTACCTGCACATATGCCCAGCCATTGCCGCGCTTGAAGATAGAATCCATGATTTTCAATCCACAATGAGCACAACAAAACATGAACTCATCTTCACCTTCAAGCAAATTCAATGCACGAGCCACAACCCTCAGAACTTCAATTGTAGGAACAAACAAAGAACCAAGACAAGCACTTCCAAGATTCACAGACAATGCCCTCTGGAAACAAAACTGTGTACTAGATTGCATCCCTCTAAGATAATACAGCCCAATCACTCTGCTAACCGTCAAATTCACCACATTCCTCATCACTTCAGTAACCCAAGCCATACTCAAAACCAACCCGATGATAACCAATGGTGGGAAATAGAAATTTATAGCCCCAATCACAGCCAAAATCCACATTGACATCCATAAGAATCCAGCAGCTAATGTTAGATAAGTTGGATGATTCAAATCGCCAAATTTAGGTACAGGTTCAAGTGATTTGATTAGAATCTTTGTACAAAACTTAATTCTTGGTGTCACCCAACAAGAATACAGTCCATTTCCAATTGCAAACATGATTAACACAACTCCAACACCATCAGTTGATGGTCTTTGGAAGCAAATTAATAGGATTCCAGCTGCTAATGTGAAGATAAACGAACCCCAAAGTATGAAATGAACCATGAATGTTGGCCACATTCTCATTGCCTTTTGCCATGTAAATGCTAGTGTTATGCTAAGTAAAGAAGCTGCTTCTACTTGTGGAAGAAAAAACTTTAATAACCTCTTTTCTTTTCTTTGTGCTTCCCCTGCTTCTAGTAGACCTTGTATCCCTTTGAATACAAGAAAACAAACTAGCCCAATTGCACCAATCATGTGTACAAGGAACAGAAAAAGTGAAAACTTGTTTGTGTAGGATCTTGAATTCAGTGTTATTACTGAAGGCTGCAGGTAAAAAAAAGGAAAAACCAAGAAGAATTATTTTCAGATTTTACTCAAATATTGGGAAAACTGAAAACTTGAAGACACATCAAAAATGAAAAAGAATTTCAGCTCTATTTGATACTCCATGATCAGTCACGAAGAAGCTAAAGGATGTTCAACATCTATACCTATATGTTAAAAATAATTTTAATCATTTATAAACTGAAATATTCGAACCCCTTGCCCCTGGCTTGCTCCCCGCAGTGGCGGAGCCAGAATTTTCAATAAGGGGTTCAAAATCTAAAAAAATAAACACATGAAGTAGTCGAAGGGGTTCGAGATCTACTATATATACTTAAAAAATTATTTTAACCATGTATAAATCATATAATTTTCCGCCGAAGGGGTTCTGAACCCCCTCATAATAGGGTGGCTCCGCCACTGCCCCCCGGTCCATGATAGAATTTATTTTTCGAAAAATAAAATGAATTATTTTCTAAGAAATAGTTTTGTTGTTTGATTGAAAAATTGAAAATAATTGTGACATAAAAATAATTTTTGCCCAAAAATGAAGTAAGTTATATTTTCTACTTTTGTTCAAAATGGAAAAAAATTATTCTTTAATAAATGAACCTCAAAAATGACTTACTATTTTCATTTTAGAAAAATGTTTTCCATTGTACCTAACACGCCCTTCTATGTTAAGCTCAGAAACATACTTGAGGGGTAACAGCAGGGGTTGAGCGAGTCTGAGAAGGAGCCGGAGAAGGGTGGTGCTGAGACGGAGCTGGAACCGGAACCGGAACCGGCACCGGAGAATGGCGGTGCTGAGACGGCGCCGGCACCGGAGCCGGAGGATGGCGGTGGTGAAATGGATTAGGAAAATAACGGTGCTGACGATGTTGAGAAGGTGCCGGAGCGTTATAAGGAGAAGGAGAAGCAACTCTAGTTCCGGCATTCATCACAAGCCTCAAAGGATTCGTAGCACTCAATCTTTGCATTCTCGACATGTGAAAATTCTCACCGCCTATTTCTGCCGGTGGCGGCGGCGGGGGAGGCTGGCCTTGAAATCCCCTTTGTTGACTATCCATATCACCTTTCTCCACATCTCTCTCTTCTTCATCTCGTATCTTCGGCTCCTTTTCTCCATTTTCCTCGTCAACTACCTAACAATAGACAGAAAAATTTTAAAAAACTCAATTTCACTTTTAATCACCAAAAAATTGAAATGAAATGAAATAATGGAGCTGTATGTGCTTACAGGTTCTACAGTACCCATGAACGACGGGAAGAGTGCGGCGGCGCGTGGATGAAAGTAGATATTTATTCGTTATGGGGGCAGAGGAACGTTAGATTTTGTTGGTATGTGAATTGTGGTGGTGACTGATGCTATTGGTTGGCGCATCAAAATATTGCTTTCACCGAAGCTTTTATTTACTTGTTGAAGACCAATTTGGTAAAAACATTCCAAACGTGCATCGTACGGCGCGTGTTTACACGATCCATGTCTGCTGCTGTTTCTCGCACGTGTTCCATTTTAGTTGAAAATATTCTGCACCAGTTTCGTGTTTTAAAGAGCTGCTATTGGGTGTGGGGGGGAACAGAGCCGATTATTATGGGATTAAGAGCCTGTTTTGTTCAATTTATTTTAAGTATTTTTATAATGTTTGAATAAAAAAATATTATTAGACATTTATTTTTAATAAAAAACTTATTTATAAATCTAAATTTTTTATTTATGACTTTTAAGTTATCGGTAAAATATAAGGTCACATGGGGAACAAAAAGGAAGTAAAGAACAAGTTGCAGGCTGCTAAAGTGGTGGTTGGTGTGGCACAAAAATATCCGATTCATTTTTAGAGACTGAAAGCAAATATACTTTTATTATTTTACTGTATATAACTTTTTTAGAGGAATTTTATATTAGTGTGCATGATGTAAATAAAGTTATTTTAAATTTTAATGCAAATGAAAAGTTCTTTTTGGTGGTTGATCAGTGAGTGCCAGAATACTATTGAAATCTATACTATATTAAAAGTTTAATAGTAATATTAACAAATCTCTTCGGAACCTTTATAAATAGAACATATTTCTTCTTCTTTTTATTATTATTATTATTATTAGAGTATCAAATTGTAGAGTATTTTAATGAGCCACTTGACGGTAAGGAGAGGAGTCACTATTAAACAGGCGATTCCAGCTTTTTATTGAAGTAGGATGCTTATATAATTTTTAGAAATTAACACTACAAGAAAAATATGAATTACATGAGGATTTTCCTGAGGATCAATATGAAAATCCGTAGGAAACTTATTTTCCTGCAAATTTTCATACTAATTCCCAGGAAAATTCTCATGTAATTCACAGTTTTCTTGTAGTGTAATAATATATGGATATTAATTAAAACAAGTAATATAAAATTTAAAACTAATTTGTTATAACATAAAACTACTTCCATCCATCATTGGGAAGTCATTTTCATCTTGATTTTTTTTCCCTGATAATCGGACACTAAAAAAATGTCTTTGGGTTTGAGAAATAGCACATTTGTTAGTGGGGAATAATTAAATGATCAATGTAGGTATGAAATACCAATTATTTGGGAATATTTTTACCTTTGGTAGTACGGATTCCTTAAATCTTATGATACCAATTATTTTTTCTTTGTCTCAATCCATATGATACACTTTCCTTTTCAGTCATTTTAATTCTTTAAAAAAAAAGATACATTTTTAAAATGTTTATTTTACCTTTAATGAGAAGAGTTATAATCATACAAACATCGAAGGTTTATGTTAATCCACAAGTTTCAAAAAAAATTATTCCATCTTCAATCAAAACTATATCACATAAATTGATGGAAGAGAGTAATATCTTTTACATAATTGAGGGTGAGTGGTCGTTTTCAATTGCGTAGCAATCCCCAAATATTATATAAATTTTTTGTCCCTAGTGGCAATCCTCAAATATTTGCTAACTAGGTCGATTATATTTGTTTCGAACATGTACCCATACTTTTAACCGAACATATTATATACTATGACGAATTACAGAACACAGATAATATAATTCTCAAATTTGTTTGCAAGCGACGATATACGAAGAACGATAGTACAACTAAAAACTAATTAACGTAATAAACATTAAAATTTAAAGACGAAGCATTCTAGCTTGTATTTATCGCACACCTCAAAATATAATTTACATTTTAGGCATGTTGAAAATAGTGTTAATTCAAAACTTAAATTTTTCTTTGAAGTGTTACACGATTTATAAACAAACTTAAACATCCCTCTAGAATTATGTACTATATATGAATTGACAAAATCATATATAGATGAGACATTCTTCTATGTAAATTATGGGTGGGTAGATATCTTTCTAGATTTGATGTAAACTTCTATAATCAAATGATGTTTCACTTTATGCATAAATACAGTAACATATTCGGTAGTCTCACAAAGTGGTGTTTGGAGAGGGCAGAATGTACACAAATCTTACCTTCTGTGGGACATGTTATTTTCAATAGATCATCGACTCTAGCCAAAAACAGTGTAGAAGAAAATGTAATGAAACTACCAGAGACAACTTTATGCATAAATATACTATAAATAATATTATAAGATTTGTAAGAGAAAAATACTAATTAAGCCCTCATGGATATGACTTATGAGATTTGTCTTTAGATAAATAAATAATATGACCGTTGAGAGATTAAAAGACAGAATCAGGTTGAGAAACCTGATATAAACTGACTGTGTCCCAAATTTTTTCAGTAGCCAAAACAGAGAAGCAAATAATGGTAATTGGTAGGTGGAAGGAAATTAATATATATATAAGTTTATTAATGCAACTGACAGGAAAGGACTTATATATTTATTGAACATTACAACATAAAAAGAATACATTTAAAAGCATGTTCCAAACTGAAAACAAAAAATATCTCACCAGAAATCTAACAGGCTGGCATCATCCAACCTGTGAATACTAGTTGTAAATATATTTCGGTAAAAGTTGGAAATGTAAATCGAATAATGTAATAGAAAATATCTTCTCATAGATAATATGCACACTGAACAATTTTAATAATTATCGCACATTCTGTATATTTATTAGTACTTTCCAGAAGGTTAAACAAAACAAAAAGAGATAGATTCAATATTTTTGCATAATCACATCATCATGGTTGGAAACTTCTGATTATACTTGTAACTAACCTATGTTTTTCTTCAAAGGAAAAAATTGTGCTGATTTTTCTTTTAAGTATTTGGAACTTATACACGCCATATGATTGTATCTAGTGATCTATTATGTTATATCAAGTGGCGAAATCAGAATTTTCACACTATATAAGATGGAACCGAGTTAAACTAACTTGAAGCAAATAACATTATGTCAAATAAGGAGTAAACAAGAGACGTTTTTTTTTCCCTGATTGTACTTTTCCTTAAACAAGGTACATGCTAATCGAAGAAAATAAAAACCCAAAAACGAAAATAGATCGATCCATTTAAAAAATAATAATAAGAGACTCAAAACTTGGTCTTAAAAAGATGAAAAGGAAGATCTTAGCAAACAAACTGGCATACAAAATTTTGTTTATACAATTGATTCCAAAGACACTACTTCTTTGCAGCACCACTGGAGGATTCAGGCTTTTTACTGGAGGTCTCAGGTTTTTTAAGTATACATAATTGACCACCATCCTTAGTAGCAAAAGTGGCTGCTTTTGTTTCGTTGCACTGATTAATAAACTTTGTCAATTCCTGGCCACAACAAAAGAACAATGCAGAATAATGAGACCTAGAGTTTGACATACATTATTTTCATATTCGACATTGCACAAAATACCGAAGAAGCAACAAAATAACTTAGTACACCTTGCATATACTAATATATGTTACGTCTGTATGTGTATCGAGTTTTAAAGTTTTACTTGTATGTCACATTAGTTAGCAAAGGAAGAAGCTATTCAAGAAGAACAGGACTAACAAGATTTGAGGAGGAAAAACATCACATGATTGTTCCAAGGAAATATGTTTACGAGAATTTTAACTTTAAAGAAATGTAAGTATATAAAATACTGATACTTGTGGAATCATGTAAAACACTTTGGGACATCCGACATCCCAAAATGGAAAGGTTATCATATAAATTGGAATAGAGAGAGTAGGCTAGTACTAAAACTTAAAAACCAGTGAACCCGGTACTCTGAACATCGGATATCTTTTATGAGGTCAATTAGTCAGACATGCTAAAAGGATGGTGCAATAGATAATCTGACAAAACACATCTATTTTTAAAGAATCATTTTAATTTCGTGCAAGGCTGCTTCTGTGTGGCAAGGATAAATAGTGATGCCACAAATCACATTGACACAAACTTAATTATTTGCTAAGTTAAAACAATTGGAATGTGAAGGCAGTCAATCAAGTTTACTTTCCTACCATTGGAAACACAGAATCAGCTTGTCATTTGCAGGATACCACTAAATACATTATTGTTTAAACCTGTTTATTAGTCAAGCAAATGTTTTGACTGAATTTTACAGTTGAAACTACAGCTACTTGACCAGAGATCAAGCTAATGCAATCAGTAGTTTTAGGAAATTAACAAGGTCAAAGGCTTTAACCTGTGCAAGATATCTAAACAAAACATGACTGGATATACCCAAACAACTCAGAAGGGAAAGCAAAGATAAAACCGAAATGAACTACAGATTGTGCTGCATTCCATTCTGGTGCTTTCTCTGCTCCAGTCAGTCCTTCTGTCCTAAATATATCAAATCAGCATAAATATCCTCCTGATAACCCTAAACTTCGCTGCCTGTGGCATCTATATATAAGTACTCAAAGGTTGTACAAAATAAAACGACTCAAAAACCAAGGTTGAGCAGAATTAATTTGTTTTGTAAATCTCTCAAAACTAAAGATTAACTTTGATCAGAGTCTAGAGTCTTCAGCTCTTTGAAGAAGAACATGAACCCAGATGTGTTATCCTACTATAGCACCCTAATCTTATTGAACACCCTCCTCAAACACTTCTTTTATTGTGTTTATCCAGGTCTCATGTTTCGTCTAGGAATACCAAATCAAGATCCCAGATTAAATGGACTGTGAAACTAAAGAAAGCCCTTTCCAGCAAACTAAGAGTTCTAACTATTTTCTTTCCATAAACCTTCCTCTCTTTTGAAAAGCATTATACGTAGAAGTATCATATTACACTTCCAAATCCAAATCATACATATTCATGATATTTGTCACAACTATAAAACTTCAACCACAGCTCTTCCACAAATTTTTTTCACACTTATCTGAACTTAGTTAAAGCAAAAGGAAAAGTAAGGGCATCTACTACTAACCATAATACAAACAAAAGAACCAAGTTTTAACAACAATAATTGATTGACCCAAAATGAAGAAATAAGGCATATAACTTCACAAGACTAACAAAGTCAAACCTCAGAAGAAAATAGCAATAATGTCATCACTAACCTCATTCTCTGACAGAGTGATTTAACTTAATCAATTGAAGTTCTAATGTCATCACTAACCTCAATTCTCCGACAGAGTGATTTACCTTAATCAATTAAAGTTCCCAACTTTGTATCCTACCCACCCCCTCAACCCCCAAAGGCCCCCTCTCTCAATTCTCTTTCTCCATTATTTATGAAGTTTGAGGTGTTAACTTTCATATATTAAAATTTTCCACCAAAAATTTGTAAAATCATCTAAACCCAATTACAAAGGTACAAAAGCTCAAAACAATGTTTCCACATAACAGATATTCAATATGATTGGGGGAAGGAAGCACATCAAACACCGATAAACTCAAAATACAAAATATTATAAACCTAGAAATCACAAAACATAATTAAAGAACACTCACCCGATCGACGTCCATCTGCTTTGTGTTCTTCGATGGTTTCACCGCTCTCTTCCCTGTAAATGAAATTACTTGTTACTCCCCATAGACACTGTAACACAAACGATGAAATTACAAACAAAGAAATACATATACCTTTGCGAATTTGAGGAGCTTTTCCATGTCGACTCGGTACTGGTTTCTTCTTCTGTTGACCTTTGAAAAGATTTGCCTTTTGTGTCATCTTTCAACCCCTTTCTATTTTGCTTTCAATGGATTCTAGGGTTTTTGTTGGATGGCTAGGGTTTATATTTACCCAATTTGGTGTATTGCGGTTCGGAATGAAAATATAGACCGACCGGGTCGGGTCCTTCTATCTGATTTCTGAACTATGGAGAATTTCGCTGCAAAAAAGGGTAAAATGGTCTACTCATTTAAAATAGAGCAACTTTCACATATAGCAAACATAGAAATCATATTTGTATGTTATAACCTATAGTTTGCATAATTCCGCTCCATAGCAAATTTTATGTTTGTTATGGAGCTTTTGATTGTATAATTCGCTACAAACATCCAATTTTATACAAATTGTTCAGTTTTGTATAAATTCATTTATACATTGTAATTTGTATAGTAAGATCTGTATTTGTATAATTAAAAGTGTATAGGACGAAAATATATGTATTTGTATTTGTAAATACACTTTTCTCTCGCTTTATACAAACACAAATGCATTTTATACATTTTATACCGAAATGTATAAAATGGCTAATTGTATACCGAAAATGACTAATTGTATACCGAATCAGATGACAAAAAAAGGAAATGTTTGCTACGAATTACAATTAAAATAAACTATGGCTATAGCATTTAATTTGAATTTATAGTTTGTTATTTCATACAATTTTCCCTTTAAAAGATAAGTCCATGTTTTTGTTATGGTGGAGTAAATTATATTTATCGAAAATTTTCATTAAATATTTGAAGTTTTGAAACTATAACATGTTTCAGTTAAATATTTAAATTTTACGGAAAAAATATGTGTGTTGTTGTAATTAACGTGTATCTTAAGTGTTGACTTGAGACTTTATATTGTAAGCCATTTATTTTTTAGTTAGACTAGATAGCTTATCTTTTTGTTAAATAATTTAAAAATTTATGACATTTTATTTATAATATTAGTTTTTTGTCGAAACATGTATTTCATGATGTTCATAGAAATCTAGTACTTTTAACTTTTATGTTAATTCAATTGAAATATACTAATTTGAATTATAAATCATTAATTTTTTTCATAATAATAGTTAGGAACATATCTTTATAAATTGATATATTTTCAAAAGACAATATATATCTTAAAATTTTTATTTGATACCACTTATAAAGTTTCTTGTTTATCTAGAATAATTGTGCATTCAAATAATACATGTTGTGTAATTACTAAGCTGATAATTACTATCTTAGGTGGCTTTTTAAACAGGCCTTTTAGAATATCATCATAATAAAACGATGACTAAATAAACATATTAATTGGTTTTTAAATATAAAAAAATTATGAAGTTATTCGTTTTCTCTCTTTGGATCTTCAGTCAATCACAACATTTTCTCCTTTTCAACATTACTATATTGTGCTTCAATAATCACTTTGGACTTCATTTCTCTTTCTTTTATCTCTTTTTTCTCAAGCTTCAGCCTTGTCTCCTCACTTTCATGAAGTATTTCTATGTTTTCTTAGCTCTTCTTCCAATTCATTAAGTTTTCGTTACTCAATAAAGTTACGTATTACAAATATCCACATTTTTTCTTCTTGTAACTCCAATATCTCTTCAGTCTTCACGGACCGCCATAAAAGATGAAATTATGTACTTTCTTAATAATACTGAAAAAAATTAAGAGGGAGAGTTGGCTTTAAAAATAAATATAATAGAATGCATTCAAATTAATACATACAATATATATCAGTCAACAAAGAGCAAATTAAAAATAAATCAAACTTAGTCCATATATATAGACCACATGATTTACTTGAATAACATATAAATAAATAAATCTGTTATATAATATAGAGAGCCATTGGGGATGCTCACTAGCTGTTGTCAACGGTCCCCAAACGGCTAGTTGTAATATTTTATTGGGCAAATTACAAAAATCACATACTTTTAAGTTAAAATTACAATATATTCCTTAAAAGTTTATAATTACAGAAATCCCTCAAACGGATACAATAATATAAGCGCTGATACATTAATCTGATGCGCGAGATACATTAATCGTTAAGTAAGATACATTACATTTTATACATGATACACTAATCTGATGTACATTTTATACATGATACACTAATCTGATGCACGAGATACAATAATATAAGCGCTGATACATTAATCTGATGCGCGAGATACACTAATCTGATGCGCGAAAATGAGGAATTTTGAAAATTTGTAAAACTTATAGGGGATAATGATAATAAGTAAATTAAAATGTGAAATTTCTGTAATTTTTCCTTTTTTATTTCTTATTTTAAAAATTTGGCAGGCTGATCATGTCAATCGGATTGGAACAATCCACAAATTTAATTCTATTCCGCATCTCACTACCCACTCGACCCCCTATTCCACCTAAACCTCAGGATCGGGACAATCAGGATTTGAATAAGGCCGAAATCGGATCAGGTTGGAACGTCATATTCCCCTGTCACTCTTACACTTTGTTTGGATGGTTGTTATGTATTGTTTCATAATGTATTGTATTGTACTGTATTGTGTTGTGTGTATTGTATCGTACTGTGTTTTTTAATGTATATAATGTTTGGATAGATTGTATCGTTTTATGTCGTTACATAATGTCACACATCCACAATTTGAATGGTTTACACCTACAAGAAAAGCAGGGTAAGTGATATAGTTACTATGAAAATATAGGGTAAAAGATGACATATAATTATTAAATAATAAATAAAGATAAAATGAGAAAAAAATATTAAGGTAACGACGTGATCACACCAAATTGGTTGTTACATAAAATGTGTCTTTTTGTTGTTACCTAACGATGAATTTAAACAATACGATACAATATAATTTAAGTAATAAAAATAAAAACGTTATATTTAAACTAACAATGCAATACAATACAACGGGTAACAACCATTCAAACAAGGTATTTAGCTTAGACACAAAAAAGTGAAATTTTATAAAGAAATAGTACATTTGGGTTAGAATCATAGAACTCATAAATTTTATGAAAAAACATGTGTATTGTTGTAATTAACGTGTATTTTGATTCCAAATTAATATCTCTTTTTTTTTTTAATCTAAAGTCTTAATTTTGGTGAATAACTATATACTAGTGATAAGAGGGAGTAGCTCGAATGGTAAGCACCCCTCACTTCCAACCCAAAGGTTGCGAGTCCAAGTCACCAAGGGAGCAAAACGGGTGGAAGCTCTAGGGAGGGGTAAAAAATGATACACTAGTATAATATCATTATTGTAAAACAACGCCTAAATAAACATTTTAATTAGCTATTAAATAAAGAAAAAAAAGGCATAATCTCAAACTATATTAGAAAATCTTGCAACGAAATATTGTAACACCTCGAAATTTGAAAATCTATGTTCAAAAGAAAAAGTCCAATTTTTGGGCACTATGGTAATCCACGAGTCCTATCTACGGGCCGTAGGCAGTCCTACGGGTCGTAGAAGGGGATTCGTAGACTTGGGTTTGAATTCTTGAAATATCAAGTCCCAATGGTTGACCTACAAATGGATAGGACAGGGTCGTAGGTCGTTTGACGAGTCGTAGGTAGGTCTCGTAGGTAAGTCTCACACTTAGTGAAATTTTAAAGCTTAAAGTTGGTTTCTACGGTTTGCATGAACGGGTCGTAGGAAGACCTATGAGTCGTACATGGGTTCTGTCAAAGATATGTGGTTTTTAAGGTCCAATACTTGATCTACGGTTGACAGTACGGATCATAAAAAAATTCTACGGTCCGTAGGTCTGAACTGTAAGTCGAGTCGGTAGTTATTTTTTTGGGTTTTTAAGTCTTTTTCCTAAATAATTAATGCCTAAATACGTCGTTTTACCTCTAAATCTAATCCCTATAAATACCCTTCACCCTTAGAAATTCCCCCCAACTTTTCATTCTCCCAAATTCCTAATGTCTCTCCAAAAATCTTCTCTCTAGATCAAGGAAGAAGAAGCTAGGGTTCTTCAAGTTCAAGTCTCCTTTCTTCATCATTGCTTAGGGCTTCAACCAAGGTATGTAGGGAGTTCATCAATGGGTTCCAATCACCCATTGAGTCCCCAAAAATTCATCATTGCTTAGGGCTTCAATCAAGGTATGTAGGGAGTTCATCAATGGGTTCCAATCACCCATTGAGTCCCCAAAAATTTCTCCAATTCAATTTCCCAAAAAGTGATTAGGTTTTCATTAAATTCCTCATGGGTTCCATTTGTATGGATTCAATTGCTTGATTTTGATCTTATTTTGATGATTTGGACTTAATTATATGTTTTTCAACAAAATTCATGTAGACCCATGCATTGATCTATGAATTTTGACTATGAACCCTAACTTACATGAATTTATGAAGAAGCTTGAATCTATGAATATATTTTTATGAAAACATGCATATTTTCATGAAATCAATGTGTATGACTTAAGTAAGCGTATAGATGAATGTATCGATATGTTATATGAAGCTTGGCCACATGACACGAATGACATCTAGATTTTTCATCAATGCTTTTAGGCTATTTTCCTAAATTAGGTCTTGATTAGTATGGTATTTGGATATATTATCAATGATTATAGATCACACTTTTTTTTAGAAACTATTTCCATTAGTAGTAGGAAAATTTAAGTATGAAGTTAATAATTATGGGCCTTGGAAAACTATTATAAAAAGATGATGGATGGTGAGAGGTTTTCTCACGCATAGTCTAAGGAGCTACACTATGATGTTTCTAGCTTGAATTAGTATCTTAATTGTACTTTTCCATGGATGATAAAATGAATATGATTAATGACTATTTCCTGAAATTTATACTTAACACTGAGAGGATATTGAGATGGAAGCTCTCCCATTGGTTGAGGTTGGGTTTATAGTAGCAATCTACATATCCCATAACTATGTGCCACCATAGGTTTTTCTTAGATAGACATTAAATAGTGGATCTACTTTAGCTTAAGATTATGGTTCTTACATTTGGAAAGTAGGACACTCTTTTTTTGGCGTGGGACCAGTACACTGTATTCCATGTTATAGCTCACATGATCTATGCCGATTAATGATAAACTTCCCACAAAATAAACTAAGTTAATTACTAATGTATTATGAAGCTTCCATTATGATTTAAAGATGCATTGAGATTGTTCATGATTTAATGAATTTTCTTAAATGATTTTACTA